AAAAAAAAAAAAAAAAAGTTTGTTCTTACAGCAATGTTTACATATAAAAAAAGAAAAAAAATAAGTTTGTTCTAGGGAAACCTTTTTTAAGGTCAATAAGTTATCAAAGATATTCATTAAATAATATTATAGCTGTCAAAATGAGTTCTGATCAAATAAAAGTCTGTTATTCAACAGGGTGTCCCAAAGGAAAAATTAACAAACTCACATTATATTTTACAGATTTTTTTTTTTTTGAGACAGAGCCTCAACCTGTCACCCTGGGTAGAGTGCCGTGGCATCACAGCTCACAGCAACCTCTAACTCCTGGGCTCAAGCAGTCTCCTGCTGCCGTCTCCTAAGTAGCTAGGACTACAGGCACCCGACACAAAGCCTGACTATTTTTTGGTTGCAGCTGTCATTGTTGTTTGGTGGGTCCGGGCTGGATTCGAACCTGCCAGCTCAGGTGTATGTGGCTGGCACCTTAGCCACGTGAGCCACAGGTGCCGAGCCATTTTACAGATTTTTAATACTGGTATTTATATAGCAACATGTAAAGAAATATTTTTAAAAATATTTTGTAAAAATGTGTAATTGATATTTTGTAAAAAAAGGTACATTCAGCCACAACTTCCTATCTTCCCTGTGTATGTCTGGCGACCTTTGGGACATGCTGTAGTATTTTCTGTGCCTGTCCTGTAATACACAAATTGAGCAACATAAAATACTATATACCTGTTCTGTTTCTACAAAATTAGCAACATGACCATCATCATTTGTTCCCCGGACATTAAACCTGGTCCCAGCTCGTTCGCAGCTTAATCTTGAAATGAGGCAAGCCTTTGCCTGTTTGTGAGCAGCATAAATTGTTCTGATTTCTACTCCTCCACACATGAGGCGTAATAACCATTCGTCACAATTCACACCATAGTGCTTGAGATGCAAATGCAAAGACTGATTCCTAACAGAAAAAGAAAGAACTGTATTAGCTTTTTGAGTACTAAATAATGAAGTATAAATTTTATTTATTTATTTATTTACTTTTTTGAGACAAGGGTCTCATTCTGTCAACCTGGGTAGTTGCCATGGTATCATCATAGCTCAAGGCAACTTCAAACTCTTGGGTTCAAACAATCCTCTTATCTCAGCCTCCTGAGTAGCTCAGACTATAGCTATGCGCCACCATTCCTGGTTAGTTTTTCTTTTTTAGTAGAGACGGGGTCTCATTCTTGCTCAAGGTGGTCCTGAACTCGTGAGCTCAAGCAATCCACCTGCCTCAGCCTCCCGGAGTGCTAGAAATATAGGCATGAACCACTGCATCCAGCCTGAAGTATAAATTTTAAAATAGTGCTCCTGGAATATTAATTTAATGTTGTTAAATTAAAAGGCACCAAAAATAACTCAGTTCATTTATATTTACTATGCTATGAATCAGAAGGTTGGGTGGTAAAATGCAATCCTTCAATATATTATCTATGGTCCATACAAAAGAAGCACTTGTTTTTAGTATCAGTGCCTCATTTCTGTCATGTCTTTATATATAATGTATTTATAACCTAACTTGTTACAAAAAGTACTACATATACACCTCCCCATCCCACTTTATAAAGCTCTATTTTTAAGGCTTGATTTTTATAAAGCTCTATTTTAATTTTTGATTTTTTATTTTAATTGTATTATTAATAAATATAATAATATAAT